GTGTGTGTGTGTGTGTGTGTTACCTTCATAAAGCTGGGCGTACTGTGGAAATCCTGCTGCTCTAAGCCAATCGCAAGCCTCCTTAGCCTCAATCTCTGTAAAGGGAAAATAAAGCAGTTGAGGCATTTTGATTACACTCATAGATTAGATGCAGATTTTGGTTCAAATCTGTAAAACAGAAAAAATGAAGTTAATAGTAAGTAACCTGATATCAACACATGGTTTTAGAGGAGGAAATTCTTACTATACTGAATGTTCCTCTTGGAATCTCAATGGACTGATGTCTTCCAGCCCAATCATCAGCTGTGTGAATTATTAACTTTCTATTATGAGCATAAAACACAGATGAATTAAGAGTCAAGGAGGGAAACACAGAACTTAAGACTGTATACGCTTGTTCCAACATTTTCTTTCCCATATGGGGGAGGAACATCTTAATGTTCCTGTGGGAATTCAGTGAGCCAGAAAAGGCTGCACAGTTTACACAGCTCAACATTAAATATCCTGTATATACTTCCAAACAATATACACTCAGATGAACAGTCAGGTTTCAGCTGTTAATGCAAAAAATTTTAACAACGTATTCACATGGCACCACACCCCATTAGGTGCTGCCGCCAACATCAATACATGTTTTAGAGGAGTTTGTATTCACTACTTCTACAAGTGTATATATCTTTTGTTCTGGACAATCGTTCTGCAAAGCTTTTTGCTGGCAAAGATAATGGAATGATCTTAATAATAATAATAATACATTTTACTTCATGACACTTTTCTGCACACCCTTCAATGCATTAGGGGCTATATAAAAAAATACAATAACTAATATAGCACTCAGAGAAGAGCACATATCCAGCAAGGCCCAACAGTCCCCTTAAAGTCAATTAAGCTGCACCAACTTGCACAAACTCATAGATTTTTTTTCATGTGGATCCATAATTTATTCCCTGAGAAATCTGTGAAAATGTCAAAAAGTCGCAAGTTAAAGAAAAGTTCCTATATTTCTCTGTAATGACCCATTCTGACAAGGTTTCTAACTAACAGACAAACCATAAATGATGAGTTTTAAAAATGTTGGTATAAAATTACATTTATTATATATTATGTAAGAAGAAAATAAATTGATATGACCAGTTTTGAAGTTAAAAATAATATGAACTTGCACACAAATACAACACGATACAGCACGAATAGCCGAGCCTCTGCATCTGCATCATTCTACAGTCACCGCTCTTTTTTCACGGCTCCTTCACAACACCACTCATTCACTCGTCTCATTCATGGCTTTAAAGGCGCTGGCAGTGGCTGGGAGAGGCACCGCAGAGACGCAGTGGACAAAGTTCACAGGGGCAATAAAAAGCCTCTGTTTTCACCATCAGATGAGATGAGAACGGTAACAGGAAACGATCCCGTCGCCGCAATCCAGCAATTACATCCCTCTCCCGGCATTCTCGGCATAGCTGCTCATTCTAAATCACATGCGAGGTTGGATCATGAAAAATATTTTGAGATGCTGAAAATAGACAAAGAAATTCAAAGAGAGAAAAACTTGAGAGAGAAAGAGGCAGAGAGCTGAAAACTTACTTGAAGCCCTCATGGTGCCAGTGATGACATGCTGCTATTTTCCTCTCCGGCACTCAGACTGACGTTTCCTCTCCATCCCAATCACTCGTCCACTCTCTACTACCCAGCTCTCCATCAAGTGGCAGCTCTTTGAGCTTGTTCCTCCTCGCTGCCTCTCCAACCCTTGTGTTTACAACTCGGACTCCCTCCACCAGCCTGCCCCATGCACGTTTTCTCTTCCCTCTAATTTTCTCCTCAGCCTCTTCTGTCTCGCACTCTCTGCTTTGTTGGGATCCACGTACAAGATCTCTTTATTTCTACAGGTCTCTCTCTCTCTCTCTTCTATTCTGCTCTTTCTTCTCCTCTTTTGCTCATTCTTGTGTTCATGACGGTCTCCACCCTTCTTATCACAGTCTTGACATTTCTTTTCCCTTCTCTTTGTGCTTAAATAAATAGTTTTGCATTTTTGTCCTCTTTCACCTGCCTTTTTCTACCCTTAAAGAATAATATCCTAGTCTGCCTCCTTCGTTCAGCCTCACCCTCTCTTCCACAGTGATGCAACACAACTCCGCATCTTCTTTGTCATGAGCAGAGCTGCTGTTGTCCAAATCTCATCCATGGAGGAAATTACTCGCTTCAGCTGCCGTTTGCTTTGAGTCCCCCCCCCCCCCCCCGAGGTAACAGACTGACGACTGGTAGATGTTAACTTCACGTGTCAGCTGAACCTGCGGGCAGGCGGGCTATAGCAAGGACGCTCTGACCTCATCATCTTCCTTTACATTTACTGTACGACCTGATCAACGTGTGGGAGAGCACACACATACACACAAACTGCACAGAGTCCAGATGTTGCCCCCAGTGAGTCAGAGAATGTAAAAAGGATGAGACAGGCAGAGCGGAGGGCGGAGATGGACAAACCCCAGAGACAAAATCGCAGGGAGGACACACCACATCACATCACACCACATCACACCACGTTATGTCTTTACAGTAAAGAGCTGATAATCTTGAGTTGTTGACATTATGCCACAGACCTCAGTTTTTGACCTCAATTACAAATAGTGAGACACACGCACAGGTTGGTCCTTCACTACAGTGAACACAGGAACTGTGGTTTACTGTGAGTTAATCAAGTCAAAATGTTGTGTGGCCATGAATAATCCCTCGTAAAGCAAATCAATTTTATTAAATGAATAAAAGCTTTTTTTTAACAATCTTGACCCAAATGGCCACATACACACAATGGAATGGGAAAAGGAAGTTGGTCAAAAAGTCAAAACTACCAAAACCAAACCAGAATTTGTTGTATTTTAATGCAAGGTTGATGATTCAAACTGCCGACTTATAGCAGGAGTCAAAGGAGAAACAGGGTCATAAATTACAGAGTCACAGTCAGATTATTTTCAAAACCATTGCCTGATTCTCCACAGTTTCTGCGGCAAAATGAACACATACACATAATCTAGAATAATATAGATGTTCAGCTCTGGTTGTTTCCTTTGACTCAGCTGTAACTGCACACTGTTTGCATGCTGTTGCACAGACAGTGGAAATGCTAAACCTACAGTACCTGATAAATACATATCATGTGTAATGCACACTTTCTATAGATCCTCAAATCCCTCCATCTCCTCTGGTGTTTCACTGAAAAGCGATCAGTACTAATAAAGCCATTGCAGTGCCCAGATAACGTTTTACAAAAGCACAAAGTCGTGTACTTCATTACAGTGTTGTGCATACATTTGTGCGATGCATCTTAGTGTTTGTTGCCCTGAGCTGAGTGTTAAAGCTGCTGTCACCTTGGTAACAAAGCACTGTTATTCATCTGTGCAGGATTTAATCAAGAGATTAATTAGTACACAAATATGTTAGAGGGCCACAGAACGCACAACGCAGAGTCAGACGGAGCTAATCCACGCTGCAAACTGTGCTTTTCCTTCGGTCTATTCCGTGGCGCTGCATTCCTGCTGCGTAGGATATACGACGAGCCACTGGAACAACAGCAGGAAAGGCAGACAGATGGTATGTGTATCAGTTAGAATGTGAGCGTCCATATACGGGACAAAGGGGCTGAGAGGTAACTCCTTACATAACCAGGTGCTCACGGTGTTACATAACACACAGAACACAAACAGCCCAACATCCTTCCTTTTACTTCTGGATCGATGACTTCACCTATCTTTCCTCTGACTTTCATTTTCTTTCTCTGTTCTTTCATCCAGACCCAGAAAACCTTTCCTCAGTGTTATGTCTGACTATTACTGGGTCTCAAGGACCCTGAAGTGCCTCGGATGACATCAGTTCCTGTTCTGGATTTCCCATGTGTCCAGAGTGGCATGTGAGCTAAGAACCGCAACAGGAAGTCCTTGGACTGAACATGTCAGTCGGACTTGGAGGGGGTAATTGTACCGATGCACACTGATGTATGATGATCGGTAACAGAGAGTAGGACAAGAGAAAACTTGCTTACTACATTTTACAAAGTTTGATTTTAAATGTTGTTTATTTCAATGGTTCCATTCAGACATAATTGGTTAAATAAGAGATAAACAGTCTAGAGACATAAGTTAAAGTTTGACTAAATAGGCATGAAGTGAGTAATAGTCCTACACCCCACACACACACACACACACANCACACACACACACACACACACACACACACACACACACAGGATGTTTGGAAAGCAGCCATATTCCCACATAAGCTAAAGCACTTAGTCCTTCATGTTTAAAGGTCACACAGAAAAAAGATAGTAGTGAAGAAGTCGGAGGAGAAGTGATGGGAGGGAGGGAGGGAGGGAGAGAAGGAGGTTAAAGAGGAATATGTATGTCCTGTCCCGTATGGTTCATCTGTGGTGATGTCTTGCCCTGAGGAATGTGCATTAAAACAGAGTCCACTGGCATGAAATCAGTGCTGGCTCATATGCAGCCTATAATATACTATGACAGGTCCTGGCAGGAGCGCTGGGAGTTGGTAGTTGACCATAATTATTAACAGCTCTGGGGTTATGGTGAGATTTAACCCAGTGCAATAACAAAGTGGGATATGATGAGAGTGTATGAGACAAGACTGAATGTGAGTTGGGGATATTCCGTTTTCTCCACCAGAGGGTGTAAAAGTAACACATATCATCAATGCATTTGCATTACAGTCCAATTATTATATGGCTTCAGGCTGTGGTTACAGGAAGAGGTGGAAGGGGATTATTTTGCATGTGCTGCGTCTTTCAATTTTAGTGATTTGAGCATTTATTGTAAGTTGGCTGAAACGTTAAGTGCTCAGCTTGGAGTAGCAGCCAGTAGAGTACTTGTGGTTTGCCAGTAGCAATTGTGGGTATGGTGGTGAGTGATAGACAGATACATTCAATGAGAGTTTCCTTTAAAAGAAACACAGACAGGTGACAAATTGAAGGAAAGAAGAGGGAGAAAAACGTAAAAGTACTACTTCCATCGCTGAAAGTGAAAGCTGAAAACATTAGTGTGTCCTGAGGAAAATTATATAATGCTGTATACATATGTATGCAAATCAA